CATACCTCCATTTCTGTCTTTTTACTGGTTAATAAGAGATAAGAATCTCAGGGATTTTTCTGCTTGAGCTGGCTTTGAACCTTGATTCTCAGATCTCAGTCTCCTGAAATTCATTTTAGTTGTACTATGGTTTGAACTGAGAGCCTCGTGCTTGCTAGGCAAGAGCTCTACCACTTGAGCCATACCTCCAGCCCCCAGCCAGAACTTGTTGTTGTTATTGTTTTTACTGATTTGCTGCAGATTAAACCCAGTCTTGCAATGTTCTGGGCAAGTGTTCTACCATTGAGCTATATCCGTAAGACTTTGTGTTTTTTTGTTTATTTTCCTAGTCCTGGGACTTGAACTCAGTGCTTGGGCACTGTTCCTGAACTTTTTTTGCTCAAGGCTAGCACTCTACCACTTGAGCCACAGCAGCACTCTACCACTTGAGCCACAGCGCTACTTAGGCTTTTTCTGTTTATGTGGTACTGAGGAATCGAAACCAGGGCTTCATGCATACTCGGCAAGCTCTCTGCCACTAAGCTACCCTGCCTTTGTGTTCTTGAGACAGGGCTTGCTGTTTAACCCAGGCTGGCCACCAACTCATGATACTCCTTTTTTTGTCTCCTGAGTGCCACGACCACAGCAAATTCTTCCACACCTGGCCTGTGAGCCATAACTTTACATAGCATATTGAAGTAGTCTAGATGTTCTCAAAGAAAACCACTTACATGGGTGGAGAACTTGAATAGAAGGAAAATTGAGAGGAAGGAAAAATGACTAATTGAAAACTGTTAAAATTATTAATTTTTTTCTAAAAGGCCCATTTGAACTTGAGTGTTTACACTAAGTTCAGCATCTAAGTGTCTTAAATAAAAATAAACAAACAATAAGCATTGTTAGGCAGGATGCTTAAGATACTTGAGTATGTTACTGATAATTTTCTCATTCTATTATATTTGAGTTCTAAACATAGTTGGCTAAATTGACTCCCATTTTCCAGCCTTGTTGGTGTGTGATAGTTGGTCATTGAAAATACAACTGTAGCTGAACATTGGTGGCTCATTTCTATAATCCTAGCTACTCAGGAGGCTGAGATCTGAAGAGTGGTGTTCAAATTCAGTCTGGGCAGGAAAATCTGTGAGACTTTTATCTCCAGTTAGCCACTGTTAAAAAATGGAAGTAGGCTGGGAATGTGGCTTAGTGGTAGAGTGCTTGCCTAGCATGCATGAAGACCTGGGTTCAATTCCTCAGTACCACATAAACAAAGCCAGAAGTGGTGCTGTGGCTCAAGTGGTAGAGTTCTAGCCTTGAGCAAAAGCTCAGGAACAATGCCCAGGTCCTGAGTTCAAACCCCAAAACTGGCAAAAAAAAAAAAAAAAAAAAGAAGAAGTTGAGAAGTGGTAGAGTCCTAGCCTTGAGCAAAACAACCTCAGGGATACTGTGTAGGCCCTTAGTTCAAGCCTTATGGTAGATGTCTCCCCCCAAAGTGAGAGAGGGTAAGGAGGGGGAGAGGGAGGGAGGGAGAGTACAGTTGTATATGAAACGTGCTGGGTTTATGTACTTTACAGTCCTTACTTTCCTCTTCCAGAAAACTTCATTTGCTTAAAGTAAAGCAGGAAAATGTGGATTGCCCTATTTTAGTATAGGATTAAAATACATGTGGTAAGGGCCTCCTGGGGCCCAGCTGCTGACTTGGTTTTCAATCCAAATAGAGAAGAAGAATGTTTGCTATCTTTTTGAGAAATAAAGGCTCTGTGTTCCTTTGCTACATGAAGGGAGCAACTGCTAAGAGTTTCTCTATGAGGCACAGGGGGACAAAATTAGCCTTTGACTCTATAGTTATGATATTCATCCATCTTATCAATCATCATTGTATAGAGCACCATTCAAGGTTTTGGAAGCTATAGAACATTGTCATTTTCTGTTCTGAAGCTCTGGATTGTCACATAATAACAGCTATTATTATCATCATAGTTATTATTACTCAGGAGGCCAAGATCAGAGGAGGATCATGGTTCAAAGTCAGCTTAGGCAGAGAATTCTGCAAGGCTCTATCTCTAACTAACTAGCAAAATGCTAGACTTGAGGTATAGCTCAAATGTTAGAATACCAGCTGAGCAAGCAAAGCAGAGCTCTAGTCCCTGAGTTCAAGCCCTGGATTATGAAAAGAAAATATAATTTTGCCTAGTTACAGTTGGTTCAGTTCAGAATTGCCGCATTTGTTGGGGTTACTAGTTCTAGATAGATCTGAAAGAACCAAAGTATCTAGAGTTGAACTCCTTTAATGGAGGTCAAAATGTGGCTCTACTAATTACCCTTTTGTTATAATGATGCTCTAACCTTGATCTTTAGGTTATTTTCAGTTCATAGCAAATCTGAAATGTGAGTAGTGGAACTTTTATTATTTTGCTACATTTTTTTTCCCCCCACTACAGGGGTTTGACCTCTAAGCCTTGTGCTTGGTGGGTGGTGCCCTATCACCTGAGCCACATTAACAGCTCTCCTTTTTGCTGGTTAATTGGAGATGGAGACTTGTGGACTTTTCTGTCCAAGCTGGCTTCAACCTCAGTGCCTCCAGATATCAGTCTCCTGAGCTGGATTATAGGTGTGAGGTCTGTGTGTGTGTCAGTACTAGGACAGGAACTTGAGACCTCTCAGCTTTTTTGCTCAGGGTTTGTGTTCTACCACTTGAGCCATGTCTCCAGTTCTGGATAGGACTTTACCACTTAAGCCAACTTTTTTCTATTTGTGTGGTACTGAGGAATTGAACCTAGGGCTTCATGCATGCTAGGCAAGCACTCTACCACTAAGCCACATTCTTAGCCCCAGGACTCTGCTTTTTTTTGGTCCAGTCGTGGGACCTGAACTCTGGGCCTGGGCGCTGTCCCTCAGCTCTTCAGCTCAAGACTAGCGCTCTACCTCTTGAGCCACAGCGCCACTTCCGGCTTTTTGCTTATGTGGTGCTGAGGAATCAAACCCAGGGTCTCATGCATGCAAGGCAAGCACTCTACCACTGAGCCACCTTCCCAGCCCCAGGACTCTGCTTCTTAATGGAAGTGGGATATGGACTTAAGAACTCATTTGAAATAGGCTTAAAGCTATGTTTAAAAGCAACAGTAGTATAAGCCTACTTCAACTTTTGTATATGTTAAATATGTTACAGCAGGTATAAGCTTGATGGTTATTACATATATTTCATTTTTTCATATCTGTATTTTCTCTGAAAAGCCTGCAGCTCCAGTGTTGCTGTGTCAGCAGTCAGATAATTTGAATTTACTGCCACTGACTGAGACTACTGGATTTAACTGAGGAAATACTGCTTTAACTGACGTGGACTTCTAATGTAGAGATTCCTTCCTGGGCCTCCCCAGGGACCTGGGGAGAGTGTACTCTCTAAGTGAGAGTACTCCCAAAACTAGTATATATCTCAAAAGTAATTTTATCAGTAGCACTGGATGAGTCAAAAGTAGTAGTATTTCCCTTTTCCTGAACTTGAATAAGTGATGTCATAGTTCAGAAGATATCTTAAAAATAGGTGTGAAATTGAACTGAACCCACAAATAGCTGGGTGATCACTGAGGCCCTCAATTGCTTTTTCCTTTCTCCTTCTGTATGAAAGTCCCAACTGTTAGTTCAGTGAAAATGGCGAGCACTTTCTCCTCTGGGCATGCATGATGAAGGGGAGTGAAAGGAAGACCTTGTTGGGGCCTTTTCCTGAAATCTAAGATAGTAAATGCAAATCTGTAAGGAGGGTGGTCATCTTTCCCAACAGATGTGTTCCCAGTGGGCCTCCCAGTGAGCGGCAAGGTGGCAGAGCTCAGCACTCAGGCATGTCAGCTAGGTTGTGGCTTCCATCTTTCTGGTTTAAGGGGAATGAATAGCTCATCTATTTGTGTCTCTTTCTCAGTGATGATATATATAGTAATCTACTAAGAAAGCCTCATCTTCTTGAAACTTCCGTGCTGGGAATGTGGCTTAGTGGTAGAATGCTTGCTTAGCATGCCTGAAGCCCTGGATTTGATTGTTCAGTACCACATAAACAAAAAAGCCAGAAATGGCGCTGTGGCTCAAATGGTAAGGCACTAGCTTTGAGCAACAAAGCTCAGGAACAGTGCCCAGGCCCTGATTCAAGCCCCAGGACTGGCAAAAAAAAAAGTTTCTCTTTGTGTTGATTGTCTAGTCAGTACCAGCCAGCACACCTTGGTAGTTGTGGATATACCTTAATGCTTAATACCTTCATGCTTAATACCTTCCCATGCTTTTTCTTTCAGTTGCTTTGGAACAGTTCAGGACCATACTAATAAGTTCTCCTGGTTGTACTTCAAATTGTTTTCATAGTTTCATGTTATCATTTGAGTGTTGATTAGAACTTCAGGTTTCATTTAAAAATACAAAAACATGAGAATTAGAAGAATGGGAGACTAGGGGATAGCTGCTAGCATAATCTGTCTTGCTTTACAGGGTAATGATACAGATATAGAGTAATCGTGCAGCTGTGTTGAAATTTCCTTCACTGAACACCCTTTGATCTGATTCTTGTGTACTCTTACTAGACTTATTGTGTTGCTTAATGACATTATCAGTTTACTTAGTGTGCTCAGAAATAAAAATTTTGTAGCTTTTCCAAAGGTTAATGTGGTATCAATCCATCTGAAGACAAGAGGCTGGTTATAAAATTTGTTTAGTACCGGACAAGTACAATGTGTAGAACAGCCAGGTGCTGGTGGCTCATGTCTGTAATCCTAGATACTTAGAAGGTTGCGATCTGAAGATTGCTGTTCAAAGCCAGCCCATGCAGAAACATCCATGAAAAAGCTGCAAGAGGAGCTGTGGTTCAAGTGATAGAGTGCTAGCCTTGAGCAAAAGAAGCTCAAGGACAGCACCAGAATACCCCATGACTGGCACATGCACAAAAATGTGTAGAAAATTGTAGTTTTGAGAAACACGGACTGTGATTAAAGTATTGGGGAATCTCAGAATTGAAACTCAGTTATGTATTCACTGTTTTTCCCCCTTAGGTGCATGCTATTACGATGCAAATCAGTCTATGTATGTGTTTGGAGGTTGCACCCAGAGCAGCTGCAATGCTGCCTTCAATGACCTCTGGAGACTAGACCTAAATAGCAAAGAGTGGATTCGACCTTTGGCTTCAGGTAAGAGGAGAAATGCTCATCTTTTCCTTCTTAGCAGGTAGCTCACATGACATGGAAACTACTTTGTTCCTTTTTGGTGTTGATTTCAAGTGTTGGTTACTGGAGCCCCAGGTCTTTTCAAATCTTCTTTGTAAATGCTTTAAAAAAAAAAAAGTATGCTTGTGTAAGTCTTTTGCATTAAAAAATACGTGTGTGTGTGTGTGTGTGTGTGTGTGTGTGTGTGTATATGTGTATACACATACACATATACATACACACACACACACACTTTACTATTAGTATTGGTGTCATGCCCAAACCACTATGTTACTATGTGAATTCATCTGTATGGCTTTCTCAAGTTCTAATGCAGGTGTGACGTGCTGTTTGGAATGAAGTTTAGGTAACAGTAGAACACAGAGTCATGAGAACTGTAGTCAACTGACAGTTGCTATTGTCCCAGGCTAAGGTCGCTGAATATCTTTTGTTCTTGCCAGCTCAGATATCTGGGGAGTGTATAAGACATGCCTCTGCTAGTCAGTCCTAACAACTCAGAAGTGTGGGAAGATTCCATAGGAGGTACACTTCTGCTCTGTCCCACTGTGTCAGAGTTCTGGCTAAAGAAAACTAGATTCTCTTTTTCTTTATGATTTAACCTTTTAAGAGTAGGTTCTAAATTAAAGCACAGGGTTTTGCTTTCTTCCTCAAGACAGGACAGTTTGAAATAACAGCTGTAAGAGTGGAGGGGCTAGTGCAAAGAAGAAATTGAGTCCTCTTAAGTTTTTATGTGTTGTGTTCTTGCTTGCAAGCTTTCCCCAAACATTCTGCTTTTGGCCTTGAAACTCAGTTGTAAGACTAGGGAGAACTGGTTTTCCTTGGAGGCCATTCCTTGTTTGTTTAGGCCTTGATTCTGCTTTGATGACTAGGTGGGACTTGCCTTTTAGAAAAGTCTGAGCTAAGAAAAAAAGCCAGAAGTGGAGCTGTGATTCTACTGGTGAAGTACTAGCCTTGAGCAAAAAAGCTCAAGGACAGCACCCAAACCCTGAGCTCTAGCCCCAAGATCTGTACAAACCTCCTCAACCATCCCTCCCCCCCCCCCCCCCCCCCCCCCGACACACACCAAAAAGAAAGTAGGAAAAAATGTAAGAGAATGTATGTTTGTGTATGCTGGTATTTGAACAGGCTTATGTGCTTTCTAGGCAAGCACTCTACATGTGGTCCACACCTCTAGACCTTTTTCAGGTAGAGGCTCATACTTTAGCTTGGATTGGTTTTGGACTGTGGTTTTCCTCCCTGTATCTCTCTTGTAGCTAGTATTACAGTCATAAATCACCATACTTGGCTTGTTTATTGAGACGAGAGTCTCACTGTCTTTTGCCTGGGGTGGCCTTGAACTATTATCATTCAGATTTCTATTCCAGCTGGGCACCGGTGGCTCATGCCAGTAATCCTAGCTACTCAGGAGGCTGAGATCTGAGGATCATGGTTCAAAGCCAGCCTGGGCAGGAAAGTCCATGAGACTCTTATTTCTAATAAACCACTAGAAAACTGGAAGTGCCACTGTGGCTCAAATGGTAGAGCGCTCGCCTTGACTGAAGAGCGCAGGGACAGTGCCCAAGTGAGTTTAAGCCCCACGACTACAAAAAACAAAAACAGATTTCCACCCCAGAGTGGCTTGGATTATAGAGCCAAAAAATTAGGATCTTATAGATCATAATGCCTCAGTGTTTTATACTTTGGGTAGTCTCCCTTTCAGGCCCTTCGTCTCTATTGTGCCTAATGCATGTTGCTTCATATCTGGAGGCAAAAGTCATAAAATGTGAAAATTTTCTCAATGTGAGCATCTGTCTCAATGTTCTGTGGCACTTTCTGTCTTGTGCATGGTCATTGTATGTGGGGTTGCAAATAGAGCTGTGGCTTTGGGACTTTTCTAGCCTGCTGCAAACTACTTAAGTTATTTATTTATTTAGTCGGTTGTGGGACTTGAATTCTAGGCCTGGGCATTGTCCCCCAGCTCTTTAGCTCAAGACAAGCTCTACCACTTGAGCCACAGCACTACTTCCAGTTTTCTGGTGGTTAATTGGATCTAAGAATCTCAGGACTTTTCCTGCCCTAGCTGCCTTTAAACTACTATCCTCAAATCACAGCCTCCTGAGTAGTTAGGATTACAGGTGTGAGCAAACAGCACCTGGCTATTTTTTTATTTTTATTTTTATGCAGGTCCTAGGGTTTGAACTTGGGGCCTCAGAACTGCTAGACAGACAGGCAAGCAGATATTGTAGCACTTGAGCCATGTCTCCTAATCTTTTAAGTCATTTTCTAGCAGATTTTCTCAAAAAGAAGCTAGTTTATGTCAAACCCTAATCTACAGTTAGAGCCTAGTTGTAGAGGAGAGAAAACTGAACTTTCCCAAATGTCAGCTTTAAAAAAAACAATAAAGAATCCTGTGAGATTCTGCTTCAGGCAGAAATCCCGTGGGAAGGTTCCCTGAGGGATTGTTTCTGTATGCTGTCATGAGTCCTGACCAAAGTCGCTTCCTAACTAAAACACCAGTGAATTTCTGAACAAAACTCAGTTGTTTGTGGGTGTTGGTGTGCCTGAGTCACCTGCTCATTTTAGTGCTGGGAGCTAGGTGGGTTGGATAATAGCTGAGAGGAGGGTGCCACCTTCTCCTTTGAGACAGTCTTGTAGCTTGTAGCAAGTGAGCATGTGCAAGTAGTAACTCCATTTGGAGCAGCCTTGATTATTCTGGTCACAAAATACTAGCACTGTTTTGTAACAGCCAAGTACTTTCACCCTGGGTAATTGGGCATGAGGGTTGCTCTTTTTTGTACAAACACTCTGGGCTTTAGAACCTTTCAGATTAGGTTAGTCTTCAAAAGTATAGCTCTTGGGCTGAGAATGTGGCTTAGTGGTTAAGTGCTTGCCTAGCATACATGAAGCCCTGGGTTCAATTCCTCAGTACCACATCAACAGAAAAAGCCAGAAATGGCACTGTGGCTCAAGTAGTAGAGTACTAGCCTTGAGCAAAAGAAGCTCAAGGACAGTGCCCAGGTCCTGAGTTCAAACCCCAGGACTGGCCAAAAAAAAAAAAAAAAAAAGTAGCTGTTAGGCTAGGAATGTACTCACTGGTAGAGCCCCTGCCTACCACAAACAGGGCTTTAGGTTCAGTCTCCAACATCTCAAGGAAGGAAACAAAAAAGCAGAGCTGTTGGGAGAGTAAGAGGCTGGAGCAGGCAATGGAGTTAGGAGTGGGGTCTTGGTAGAGAATGTTAGTTTAGTGGATGTCTTTTTTACTTGTGTATTTGGTTATATCACCAGGAGCCTAGAACATTTTAGTTTTGGTTGTTACTTTAGCTGAAGCTGGCATAACAAAATATCATAGACTAGGTGACTTAAACGATAGAAATCTGGTGTGTATGTGTACACACATGTGTGTGCGTGCACGTGCTCCAATCTTGGGACTTTAACTCAGGGCCTGAGTGCTGTCCCTGAGCTTTGTTTGCTGAAGGCTGGTAGGCTACCATTTCAGCCACAGTTCCACTTCCAGCTTTTTTTTTTTCCTGTCGGTCATGGGGCCTGAACTCTGGGCCTGGGCGCTATCCCTCAGCTCTTCAGCTCAAGGCTAGCGCTCTACCACTTGAGCCATAGCACCACTTCCAGCTTTTATTTTTTGCTTATGTGGTGCTAAGGAATCGAACCCAGGGCCTAATGCGTGCAAGGCAAGCACTGTACCACTGAGCCACCTTCCCAGCCCCACTTCCAGCTTTTGGTGGTTAATTGAAGATAAAAGTTTCCCAAGGGCTGGGAAGGTGGCTCAGTGGTACAGTGCTTGCCTTGCACTCATTAAGCCCTGGGTTCGATTCCTCAGCACCACATAAGCAAAAAGAAAAAAGCCGGAAGTGGCGCCATGGCTCAAGTGGTAGAGCGCTAGCCTTGAGCTGAAGAGCTGAGGGACAGCGCCCAGGCCCAGAGTTCAGGCCCCATGACCGGAGCCCTCCGCCCACCCCCCCCCCCCCCCCCCAAAAAAAAAAAAAAAAGAGTTTTCCGAGCCGAGCCAGGCGCTGGTGGCTCACACCTATAATCCTAGCTACTCTGGAGGCTGAGATCTGAGGATCACAGTTCAAAGCCAGCCCAGGCAGGAAAGTCCGTGAGACTCTTATCTCCAATAAACCACTAGAAAACAGGAAGTGGTGCTGTGACTCAAGCAGTAGAGTGCTCGCCTTGAGCTGAAGAGCATAGGGACAGTGCCCAAGCCCACAGTTCAAGCCCCATGACCGACAAATAAAAAGATTTTTCTGGACTTTACTGCTCAGGCTGGCTTTAACCTGTAGTTAGATCTCAGTCTTCTGATTAGCTAGGAGTTATAGGCATGAACCACTGGTGCCTGACTCAGAAATATATTTCTTATAGTAAAGGCCCTGTTTCTCTCTCCTCTCTCGTCCTTCTTCCACCTCCTTTTTCTTCTGGCTGGTTTTGGGCTCTTGCTCAGCTTTCTTGCTCTAGCTGGCACTCTGCTACCTGAGTCATACCTCCAGCCTGGATTGTTGTTTTGTGATTTTTTTGTTATTATTATTTATTTTATTTTATTTTGATTGGTCATGGGGCCTGAACTCTGGACCTGGGCGCTGTCTCTCTGCTCTTCAGCTCAAGGCTAGCGCTCTACCACTTGAGCCACAGTACCACTTCTGGCTTTTTCTGCTTATATGATGCTAAGGAATCAAACCCAGGGCCTCATGCATGCAAGGCAAGCACTCTATCATGTAGCCACCTTTCCAGCCCCTTTTCTTGTTATTTTTGAGCCACAGCTTTGTTTTCTTCCCTGGGCTGGCTTAACACTTTGATCATCCTGATCTTGGTCTCTTGAGTAGCCAGGATTATAGATGCAAGTCACTGGTGCCTGGACCTTGCTTTTCTTCACTGCAGGTCTGAGGTGGGATCCTACCAGGTCAGGCTCTGACCAGCAGTATGAAGCATTAGAAGTATTCCCTTTGGAAGTGAAGTGGTAATGGATAGTGGAT